AGCTCCGAGCCGGAAAAAAGCGGCAGCCATTTTTATGCAAATGAAGTGAGGGGGGGATTTAAATCCCCGCTTCATTTGCAATTGCAATGTGTCTAATTTGCATCCCTTTTACAGAAAAGGGATGCAGTCTAGACACAGCCTATAAAAGTAGAGGAGCGTCAGACAAACTTCTTTGCCCATTATGTTTGTACCTTTGTTTTATATTGTGGCATTTTTAGTGAACACCCCAAATTATCCTCTATGCAACGTAATTTTTAAGCAAATGGATATCACAGTAAAGACAATGTAGAAACCAAAGGATTCAACATTGTGACTTTATATAGAACACAATTCATTCAATAAATAGCATGACTCTGTCAATTCCTGACACCTATATTAGGAAAGTTAGATTTGTGCCTTATTGACTTCTTTTCCATGAAATCATGACCATTAAAAAAGTTATTGCTGAAATTGTAAATTATGTTTGGGAGCTAATGTCTCTAATAATCTTCTGTGGAGAAAAATGGAGACTGGCTTGCAAAGCCTCTTTCCTGCTCATCATGAATATTTGTATTAATCAAGGGCTAAAGGTTCCTATTCTCACTCTACAGCTGGCTAATACATAGATGGCCATTAATCATTTTTCTCTTTCTCTTTTCTCCATGATTCTTCCCCAGAGCTACTCAAAGAACAAAATGGTGAGTTTTCTGAAATAATCCCTAGTCATGGGCTCTGATAGTCCCACATGCAGCTAGACTGTTACATGCAAACTTTGTGGCTGAGGGGTCCCTTGTGATTTGGAATCCCTTGTGTGTCACAGAGCTGGGACGTTGCTGGTTTCTGGAAATCAGCATGGAGAGGAGAAATTGCAGGGCTGTGTTGGAGAAGTATTGAGGGATCATGTCTATTCTATTGCAAATCTCTGGTTGGGGAAAGAAAGGAGGGAATGGCTTCTTCAGTCCTGCTTAGGTTGCAATCACTGACACCTGACAAGCACCCCACAACTCCTCTTAGAGATGGCAGAAGAGTCCTTTCCACCCCTTGAACTGGGTATCTAGAACCCCACCACGATTCCCAGAGGAGATCCTTGGAAACCTCTTGTCAATCTCCTGGGTTTCAGTGGAACTCTGTGTGTTGGATTCTGAGTCCCTTTCAAAATTCTTGCCAATTTCAAATTTCTGTGTCCTCCCTAAAGGGAAGAATTCATTGTAGTCTGGGGCAGGCTCTATTAATGTGGATGTGCTTCCTAAGATTCAAAGTCCCAGGAAACTGTGCTAAGCCTTCTAGAGGCCAATTCCTTTTAATTAGCTGCAGTGGAGCATCCATATCAATGTTATTTCAGACTTACACATTCAGGAATACCGTTATTCCTCATGAAAAGCAGGACTATGGAACTCGAATTCCACAGCCCCTTATTCTGAAATAACTGTTTTGAGATAGTGTGGTTGCTTCACTAACAAAACTGACTTTGTGGGTCTTATTTCAGACGGTGGTCCTTGTGTAGACCAGGACTAAGTTTTTATGAACAGCCCCCTCTCTCTATTTTGTGAACGTTTGGGAACTCTGGCTCAGATCATCCCACCACCTGGGAAAAATGCTACTGGGATTTCCAGGAACCTCTCAGTCGGAAGCTTCCTCAGCATCCTGTGGCCCAGGCAAGGGTGTGTGAATTCTTAGAGGAATGGTGGAGAAGCTAAGACTCACTGCAGAGTCCTTAAAAATTGCAGGAATCAAAAGAGATTCAGGATTCAGTACTGCTGTGATAAGCTAGCAACTGAATTCTGACATTCACAGTTCGGTGGGGGAGGATTTCAGTCCAAAGTCTGTGTGTCTTAAGGACGAAAAGAAGCAACACAGTTAATCAGTGAACATTGTTTTATGTTTCTTTTCCTCATTTAGAAAGCAAAAAAGAGTTTCCTGAAGCAGGTAAGATTTCCTTTCTACCTCCATCAGCAAAGGTCAAATCTCCACCTACAGGCTATATCTGCTCTTGGAACTGGATGGATGATTGCCAGGTCACTAAGAGATATACATGCTACTCTTATCTGTGAAATATTCAAGTCCAAATCAGGTTAACAGCATCTTTCGAAAAAGCCTGCTATTTTTGAAGGAACCATGTCTAGACCACAGTTTTGCTTTTGAAATGGCACTTTTTCAAAAGAGTGCCATGATGTGATTATACAAATGAAGCGTATGATATTTAAATTCCACTTCTTTTGCAATTTTGATGTCAAAAGAGGGATGTAGTATAGACACAACAAGAATGACTAGCTGGAAAAGTTTCTTTCCTCCTCACCATCATGGTAAATATTTGTGCTAGTCAAGCGATAAAGGTTGCTGTCCTCACTCTATAGCTTGCTAATAAATAGAGGGAGATAAATTATTTTTTGCCTTCCCTTTTTTCCTTCATTCTTTTACAGAGCATCTTCAAGATCAACTTGGTGAGTTTTCTGAATTACTCCCTAGTCATGGGCTCAGATGATTCCATGTGCAGCTAAAGAGAAATATTTTCACTTGTGTGGCTGGGGGATCTCTTGTGCCACAGGAACTCTTGTGCAGCACTTTTCCTGTTCCTGAGATCCCTAGAGCTGGGAATACTGGAGGGATAGGTTTGGATTATTGGGAGATAACATATATTGCTACTGTTGCTGGCCCTGTGGATTGCACACACAAGACAATACAGCTCAGCCCTTAGCCTATAGTCGCAATGGTTAATCGCCTTTCTGCCTGACTCTTCACCCATGAAAGTTTCTGTCACTCTCACTGAATATTTATTTTATTTCAGAAAACCTACCGATGATTATAAATCGTCTTTCTCTTTTTTCTTTTCTCTATAGTCTGGTGAACACCCACTTCTTTTATTGACTTGTTGTGATGCTTAATATAATGAAACAAGAAGAGAAACTTGTTTTTCTACTATCTAGGAAGATGTCCATAGAATTAACCAGCACAATGTATAGCAATTAAAGGCTCTTTGCCTTTCGCTGCCCATGGACAATGTTTAAGTTACTAAAGAAAGCAAGAATCTCATTCAGTATGTTCAATTTGTAAGTCAAGGAACAAACACATCTGTTTTCTTTTCCTCCCCATTTTTTCTTTGTAGAACAACTCCAGAGAGAAAATGGTGAGTTGGCCTAAATTCCTGCATAGTGAAAGATCAAATGTCAGACCTGTTCCTCTTTTCCAATAGTTTCCAAGAGATCCATCTGCTCCCATTGCACTGCCCATAGTCTGGGAAAGGTGCAGTCTGTAGGTGACTCTGGAATTGTGCTATGTCAAGGAGGGGAGATCTCACAACAGTTTGCACAGAAAGTTAGAGAGGAAGAGTTGTAAGAAGGACATTTAAGGGAAAATGCTCACATGTCCCAGGAACTGAACATGTAAAGCCTCTGGCGTGTGAGGCAGAACAGAGTTGTCACTGTTGTGCTACTGTAATAACAGAGGCCATGCAGTTGCTCAACATCCTACCTCAGGTATGTAAGCAGAATACATATTCTCAATCGATTTCCAAAAAAAATGGGAAACCACATGTTGTGCAGAGCTTCTGGCTGGACCTTTGTAACCATTGCCATACAAGGGTAGTGGTGATACACATAGGCTGTGTCTACATTGGCACCCTTTTCCGGAAAAGGGATGCTAATGAGAGCAGTCGGAATTGCAAATGCCACAGGGGATTTAAATATCCCCTGTGGCATTTGCATGAACATGGCTGCCACTTTTTTCCGGCTTGGGTCAAATGTTACCAGTAAGCTTCAGTACCTCAGTTTTTCAGTGCCCAACTTGAGGTACTGCAAAGAAGCCAGATTTTCAGGGGGAGAGAAGAGAAGCTTTTCTAAAATAAACCCTTTTCCGGAAGATCCCTTATTCCTACTTTCAAGGGTTTATTTTCTGCAAGATCCCGTCTAGACTGGCGCTTTTCTCCGGCAAAACCCCGAGCCGGAAAAAAGCGGCAGCCATGTTCATGCAAATGCCGTGGGGGATATTTAAATCCCCCGCGGCATTTGTAATTCCAAAGTGTCTCATCAGCATCCCTTTTCCGGAAAAGGGTGCCAATGTAGACACAGCCATTATAGAATGTTTTATAGAGCAGGGAAACAGAACTAAATTCTTCTGTGTTCTTTCCCAATGGACACATTTCTAGATTAACACCGTGCATCAGATTTGGTTTGGGATTGTGTGTATTTTTTTTAAAAGGGATGGGAGAGAATAGTTCCATTCAGTCATGTCACAACAGAATAGGGATTTCAGGAAATAAAATTATTGCTGAATTCAAGATTTTACCCTTCATTCAGTACAATACTCTGAAGTGGCCACGTATCTATTGTCCCAAAATTTGATCCTGATCCACAAGGATCAAATTTGTTAACAATGAAGTGCGTATTTTCAGAAGTGCCTTTTTGTTTTTTCTTGTAGCCCTGTTCAAGTGGGAGAAGGGCCATTTTATCAATGGGGGAAGCTGGGGAGGGAGGATTTCTTTAACTGCAGCAGGTCAGGAACTTTCTGCTTTTGCAGACACAGAGAAGTGAGCTTTGTAACTGGGATTCAGGAGAATCTGCATATTTTTCAGTAGCAAATTGTCTTTCTCTGCATGATCTAGATAGTGGTGAGAAACAGGCAGTTGAGAGGAAAGAAATATTCACTAACCAAATATTATGCAAAAACAAGAATAAACAATCTGACAGAGAAAGGTTTAGTTTATTAAACCAATGGCTAGACTGCAACGGTGCTTTGGCTTTGGTTTCTCAGTGCGATTTTATCAGAGAAATGCTCAACTGCTAGTTCCAGATTGCACCAAGTGGCCCTTGGTAATAATTAACTCTATGGGATTTAATTCACTACCCAGAGGGTAAATCCTTGATAAAGAAGGATCAGTATATCCCCTTGCATAGGAATCCCTGCTGGGAATTGAAAGGAATGTTTGTTCCATGCTCCCTTGCTGAGTGGGAAGCTCCCTTCACACAGCAGATTGCAGAGCGCCCAGGAATCCTGATAGAAATAAAGTCTCTGTTAGAAACCAGGAAGCATGTGCTGGAGTTCTGTGCCTATCTGCAATGAGTGAGTCCTGTTCTCCCTGCTCCTGGCAGCAGGGCATTGTGGGTGCTGTCCCCTTCCATGCTTAGAAAGTTCAGGAGATGCACTTAACTCCTTGTTGTACTACACTAGCAGAAGGTCCCCATGCTGGTGCAATTCAGCAGCTCACTCAACTTTGCTGACACAAAGTTGAACTTCTCCCCCACCCTTTATCTGTGAAGGTAATAGATGGAATTTCTGTCTCAGTAAAATCGCAAGCACTTGGTTATAGTAGCTCTGTAATCAAAAGAACAGAAAATGTACTTTTGAAAAACATTGAACATTGTGGGCTCGTCTACACTGGCCCCTTTTCTGGAAGGGGCATGTAAATTTCATGAGTCGTAGTAGGGAAATGCGTGGGGGATTTAAATATCCCCCGCGGCATTTAAATAAAAATGTCCGCCGCTTTTTTCCGGCTTTTAAAAAAGCCGGAAAAGAGCATCTTCAAAGTAGGAATAAGAGCCTCCGGAAAAGGGCGCTTTTTCCGGAGGATCGGGGCCAGTGTAGACGCTCTTTTCCGGCTTTTTTAAAAGCCGGAAAAAAGCAGCGGACATTTTTATTTAAATGCCGCGGGGGATATTTAAATCCCCCGCGGATTTCCCTACTACGATAGGTGAAATTTACATGCCCCTTCCGGAAAAGGGGCCAGTGTAGACGTAGCCTGTGAGTGCAAATGCAACATACTTCATTAAATCAATATTATCAAGACCCTTTCAAGCACTGACACCCATTTTAGAATTGTGTCCTATTCACTTCTTTTCCATTTACTCATGATCAGGAAGGTTCTTGCCAACTTTATTAAATATGTTTGGGACTTAATCTCTCATCTAGTCTTCTGTATGGGGGAATGGCCATAAAGATGACTAGCTGGCAAAGAGTCTTTCCTGTTCATCATCATGGTAAATATTTGTGCTAGTCAAGGGATAAAGGCTGTTGTTCTCACTCTGCAGCTTGCTAACAAATAGACAGACACTAATTATTTTTCTCTTTTTCTTTTCTCATTGATTATTTTCCAGAGCAACTCCAAGAGCAAAATGGTGAGTTTTCTGAATTACACCCCAGTCATGGGCTCTGATGATGCCACATGCAACTAGAAAGTTGTATTTCACTTGCGTGGTTGGGGGAATCTCTTGTGCCACAGAATACCATGTACATCACAGTGCATTACAGATCTGAGAGATTGCTGGTTTTCCGTAAAGCAGCGTGGAGAGGAAATATTCCAGAGCTCACTGCAGACCCTGAGAATGGCAGATATCAAAAGAGACTGAGGATTCCTTCCTGCTCCAATTAGCCATCAGCAGTAGTTTGACCTGGACACTATGGATACATATGCAGGGTGACTCGCTCATCCCGTCCTCTCTCCTGTCCATGCAACTTCAGCCATATATGTCTAGATTCAGTATGGATGCACAGTAAATCAAGGAACACTTAATCAGTGAAAATTGTTCTGTGTTCCTTGTGCTCATTTACTAATGAGTTCTTCTTGAGGTCTTTTTGACATATGAAGCAATCAGGTGTATGTGCATCATAGGCACAAGTGTTGGAAGTTTTTCCTCTAGCAGCTCCCATCGGAGTTAGATGTGGAGCCCCTTGGTGTGTTGCCACTGGCTGCTGCTAATTACCACTGCAGCCCTGACCCCTCCCTCAGAAGTGAATGTGGTTTTCACAGATTGGCTTGACCACAGACAGGCATTATTTTGGGAAAATACTCTGGCTTGTGTGATAGATGATAAGAGCGATTCCTTCAGGCTTCACATTAGATGCTGTTCAAAGTCTCACCTGCTTCCTCGTATATTTACTCCAGTAAAACCAAGACTGTTGTTAGCATTTTCGCTATTGGGTACATTCATAATGAAAGATTTATTTGATTTTCAGGGAACTTGCAGAAGAGAATTCGTAAGTCTGTGTCCTTTTTCATTATTTTGAATTACAAATATGTGGAACAATCTTTTTTCCCACTTTTGATGAAACAGTTTCCTTAGTTTGCATTTTCAATAACATGTTAGCTGCATCTGAGAACTGATGCTCATTTATGTCCCCGGTTATTTCATATTTCTAAACCAAATCCTCCTTCACTAAAGCATAACTGAAATTCAGGACATGGTAAGGCTGCTGTTTTGTTAAAAGTCACCATGAAGGCAAAGGAGCAGAGAATGTCATATTAGCTTCATTGACAATTATGTTTGTATTTTTGTTGTATATTCTGGCATTTTTAAATGAACACCCCAATTATCCTCTAGGCCAGAGGTTCTCAAACTTGTGATACCGCAACCCCCCTCTCATTTGCTTGCGACTCCCCTCTCCATTGCTGCAACCAGCCTCTCAGTTGTTCGTGACCCCCTGGGGGTCGAGACCCACAGTTTGAGAAATGCTGCTTTAGGCAATGTAATTCTCAAGCAACCAGATATCACAGTAAAGAAAAAGTACACATCAAAAGGACTGAACATTGTGAGTAAATACAGAACACAATTAATTCGAGCATGACTCTTTCAATTGCTGACATCCATGTTAGGAGAAATAGATTTGTACCCTATTGACTTCTTTTCCATGAAATCTTGACCGTTAAAGTTATTCGTGAAATTGTTAATTAGATTTGGGAAATAATCTCTCTTATAGTCTTCTGTGGAGAAAAATGGGCATGTGACCAGTTCTTTAGAATGACTGGCTGGCAAATGCTCTTTCCTGCTCAATGGCCAATAGTTATCATGAATATTGGTATTAATCAAGGACTAAAGATTCCCATTCTCACTCTACAGCTGGCTAAAACATAGATGGACATTAATTATTTTTCTCTTTCTCTTTTCTCCATGATTCTTTCTCAGAACACCTTGAAGAACAAAATGGTGAGTTTTCTGCATTACTCCCCAGTTGTGGGCTCTGAGGGTATGTCTAGACTAACTGGGTGTCGAAGGAGCCATGTAGATAAGTTTACTAGACATAGGAAAATGAAGTGTCGATTTAAATAATCGCCGCTTCGTTTACATCAAAATGGCCGCCACGCTGTGCTGATCAGCTGTTTGGCGGCACAGCGGGGCAGTCTGGATGTGCTGTGGTAGACACAGGAAGCCTTTGTCGACCACTCCGGTAAGCCTCATTTCACAAGGCACATGCAGCTGGACTGTTGAATACAAACTTCTGTGGCTGAAGGGGTCCCTTTTCCTGTGGGGTGCCTTGTTCATCAGAACTAAGACCTGGTGGGCTTTCTGGAAACCAGTGTGGAGAGGAGATCTTGCAGGACTGTGATGGACAAGTATTCAGGGAGCATGTCTATTCTATCGCAAATCTTTGGTTGGGGAAGAAAGGAAGGAATTGCTTCTTCAGTCCTGCCTAGGCTGCAATCACTGACACATGACAAACACTTCACAACTCCTCTTGGACATGGCAGAAGAGTCCTTCCCAACCCTCGAACTAGGCACCTACAACACCTGCAGGATACCCAGAGGAGATATTTGAAAACGTCTTGCCAGTCTCCTGCGTTTCAGTGGAATTTTGTGTGTTGGGTTGCAAGCCCCTTTCAGATTCTTGCCATGTCTCCTTTGGCTGCTGCTTCATGCTGACACTTTAGAAAATGGGTACCAGTTGTTGGAGCAGGGTATCCAAAATCTAACGACAAGGTCATCAGAAACTTTGGCCAACAATGTTTTTATATCACCCACGCATCCCATCAGTGAGGCTGTAATTGTGTAGGGCCATGTCTACACTAGGGGTGTGTCTAGACTACAGGATTTTGTCTACAAAAGTGGAGTTTTGTGGACAAAACTATACCTGCGTCTACACTACTGCCGAGTTCTGTAGACATAACATCTACAGAACTTGGCAGTTAAGTTGACGGTGGTAAACCTCATTCTACGAGGAATAACGCCTTTTATCGACAGATTTCTGTTGGCAGAAGGCGTTATTGCATCTATACTGTCCTTTGCATCTACACTCCCATATCGACAGAACTGTATGTAGTCTAGACGCTTTGTTGACAGAAGCTTTGGTATCTGTCGACAAAGCCTCTGTTGACAAAAGCCTGTAGCCTAAACGTACCCTAAGAGATTATTTTCAATTTACTAATTTTGACTTCTGGGCTCTCGATTTTACAATTTCAAATTTCTGTGTCCTCCCTACGGGTAAGAATTGAATGTAGCCTGAAGCAGGCTCTGTTAATATGGATGTGTTACCTGCAAGGATGCTCTCTGGGTAGCTGGGGGTGGTGTCCTAGAGGCCTATTAGTTCTAATTAGCTGCACCAGAGCATCCACATTAAGGTTGTTTGTGACTTACAAGTTCAGGAATACCATTCTTCCTCATGAAAAGCAGGACTAGAGATTTAAAAATCCATGGCCCCTTATTCCTAAATAGAGGTCTTGAGATAGTGTGGATTCTTCACTAACAAAATTGACTTTGGGGGCTTATTTTGAACTAAGATCCTTGTGTAGACCAGGACTAAGTTTTTATGAACACCCCTGTCTCTCCCTTCTGAATGTTTGAGTACTCTGGCTCAGGTCATCCCACCACCTGGAAAAAATGATTACTAGGACTTGAAGGAACCTCTCAGTTGGAAGTTTCCTCAGCATCCTGTGGCCAAGACAAGGGTGTGTGAATTCTTAGAGGAATAGTGCAGTAAGGGTATGTCTACACTACAGCACTAATTTGAACTAACTTAATTTGAATTAGTTAATTCGAACTAAGCTAATTCGAACTAGTGCATCTAGACCTAAAAACTAGTTCGAATTAGCGTTTTGCTAATTCGAACTAGCATGTCCACATTGAGTGGACCCTGAACCGAGGCAAAGGATGGCCAGAAGCAGTGCCAGCAGGGCATCAGGTTAGGACTTAGAGCGAGGAGCTTCTGTCTCAGGCTAGCCAAGGGATGTGCTTAAAGGGACCCGACCCCCAACCCAGACAGACAGTTCTCAGGGTTCCCCGCTTGCTTGTCTAATTCGGTGAGGGACAGCAAAGCAGTCCTGTCTTGGAGTGCCCTGAATGCCCACACTTGGCACATCACAGCACTCGGCCATCAGCACGTCAGGGGTTCCCCGCTTGCAAAACAGTCCTGCCTTGGAGTGCCCTGAGTGCCCACACTCGGCACATCACAGCACTCATCATCAGCCCAGTTGCACTTGCCGCAGGCTGCCATCTGGGGGGGGGCAGACAATCGGGGGCTGCAGGAGAGCTTCCACCCTGAGGAGCCCACAGATCCACCCCAGTCCTCCCCATCGGGGGCTTGTACCCCATTCCTCCCTCACCTCCTTCCACTTACCCTTCCCTAGCCCCCCTTCCTGATGTACAAAATAAAAGACACTTGTGTTCAAAAATAGAAACTCTCTTTAATGAACAAAACTGGGGGAGACTGGGAAAAGGAGGTGGGAGAGGGGAAGAGAGAGGGTGGAAGAGGGGAGGGTGAAACCTGGGAAGAGGAGGCTAGAAGGGGGAAGAAGGAGGAGGGGAAGTATAAAACTATGGTACGCCATATCTTCAGTACTGTGTACAGATGTGGTCTCCTTACCTCAAAAAAGATATTTTGGCCTTGGAAAGGGTTCAGAAAAGCACTGGACCAACTAAAATAATGAGGGGTTTGGAACAGGTCCCATATGAAGAGAGGCTAAAGAGACTGGGATTTTTCAGCTTAGAAAAGAGAAGACTGAGGGGGGATATGATAGA